GGGTGGTGGTTAGGGGGGAGAGGTGGGGGAGTTGGTGGTGAGGAGGGAATATACAGTGGCAGTGCGGAGATATGGGGACCTGTTCTCCGTAGGTTGCCGCTATAGAAGGCATCACCATACACAGGCAGCCGCCTCCACCAATGGGTCTGAGGCTTTCCATGGTACTGTGGTCTCATACTGCCCCTCAGCTCCTATAGGAGGATGTTGGCGTCATCACCGGTAGCGGGTCTGTGTGCAGTTATCCTCGGTATGTTTCATGTTGAGATCAGATGTTCTGCTTGGAGGATATCATTCATCTTGGAGGTCCATAGTTGGTTGGTTGGTTGGCGGGACTCCGCCTCCGGTACAAACACTTTATACTTTTCTTTCTCTCTCCTCCGTTCCTCTAGCGGTTCCATGAACCAATTTATCGCCATATACAATGGAAGCGGAGAATTGATCAGCAATATAAAGTACTATGACGGATTCATGGGGCAGAGGATCGGCGCCATCAGCTGCTTAGCGTTCCATCCTCACTGGGTACGTGTTTTGGGATATTTGCATTTTTTTAAGTCAAACCATTTCTTTTTCTTTTTTTTGTGTTTTTGAGTTAAATTGTTACCGAGCCATCGGATTCTACTATCCGCGTGGAAGCAGCCGGTGATTATAAACATTTCTCACCGTTTGATATAAAACAGCAGCAAACGGCTACATCTCTCCGTCGCTCTTCTCTCTCCTCCTACCAGCATGTTCCTTTACCAGGCTGATACCAAACTCCGCCTGAAGTTTACATTTAGGGTAAAATAGCAATTTTCTCCAAAATTGTAACCCTTTTTTACAGGCTGTTTGTGGTTTAAAGGAGAAGTATGGGGTCAGTGTTTTCCCCCATAGTTCTCCTTAGGGTAACGGGAGGACACAAACTAGCTTCCTCCCGTCACCCTAAGCTCGCGGTATACTGAGACGCCGCAGCGGATCCCGACATCGATGTCTGGATCCGCCCAGCTGCGTGAGTGACAGCTGGCTCTGCCTATCTAGAGGCAGAGCCAGTTGTACCCGTCGGCTAGAACTATGAGGTGAGTGAAAAACACTCACCTCACAGTTCTCCTTTTTAATCTTTTTTTTTTTTTTTTTTTTTTTACCTT